GATCTCTTGACCCTAGGAGTTCAAGACCCGCCTGGGAAACACGGTGAAACCCCATCTCTACAAAAAATACAAAAATTAGCCAGGTATGATGGCGTGCACCTGTAGTCCCAGCTACTCAGAAGGCTGAGGTGGGAGGAAGGCTCGAGCCCGAGAGGTTGAGGCTGCAGTGAGCTGTGATCATGCCACTGCACTGCAGCCTGAACGATGGAGATACTATCTCAAAAAAAAAAAAAAAAAAGAGTTTCCAACATTTTTTTTTTCTCTGACCATAAAAGCAATTTCAAAATTACACTGGTAAGTTATGGGAAAGTGTGAAAACCTTTCTACCACCCATTTGCCATATAATCATTGTGAATATTTTCACTTTGTCTTTTCACTAAAAAAGGGTTTCTCTTGAAAATATCCATTAGGTTTGTTTTTAAGCTGTTTAATATGAAAATGCTCAAATAGTTGCAAAATAGAGATTAGTTTAAAGCACCACTACTTTTCTTTTCTTTTTTCTCTTTTTTGAGACAGTCTCGCTCTGCCGCCCAGGCTAGAGTGCAGTTGCCTGATCTCGGGTCACTGCAACCTCTGTCTCCCAGGTTCAAGCGACTCTCCTGCCTCAGCCTCCCAAGTAGCTGGAATTACAGGCGCCGACTACCATGCCCGGGTAATTTTTGTAGTTTCCGTAAAGACGGGGTTGTCAACATGTTGGCCAGGCTGGTCTCATCTGGAATTTCTGACCTCAGGTGATCCACTCACCTCTGCCTCCCAAAGGTGCTGGCGACCCTCGCTTGCTCTCAGCGCCTCCTCGGCCTCAGCGCCTACTCTGGCCGCGCTTGAGGAGCCCTTCAGCCCACTGCTGCACTGTGGGAGCTCCCCTCTGGGCTGGCCGAGGCGGGAGAGGGCTCCCTCTGCTTGCCGGGAGGTGTGGAGGGAGAGACGCGGGCCGGAACCGAGGCGCGCAAGGCGCTCCCGGGCCAGCGCAAGTTCCGGGTAGGCGTGAGCTCGCCGGGTCGCACTTGGAGCAGCCGCTGGCGCTGCCGGCCCTGGGCTGTGAGGGGCTTAGCACCCGAGCCAGCAGCTGTGGAGGGTGCGCCAAGTCCCCCAGCAGTGCCAGCCCCTTGGCGCTGCGCTGAAAATCTCGTCGGGCCTCAGCTGCCTCGCCCCGCGCGAGGCAGGGCTCGGGACCTGCAGCCTGCCATGCCCGGGCCTCCCCGACGCCGCGGGCTCCTGCCCGGCCGAGCCTCCCGGAAGAGCGCTGTACCTGCTCTGTGGCGCCCCGTCCCATCAACCGCTCAAGGGCTGAGGAGTGGGGGGTGCACGGCACAGGACGTGCATGGCACAGGACTGGCAGGCAGCTCCGCCCGTGGCCCTGGTGCGGGATCCACTAGGTGAAGCCAGCTGCGCTCCTGGGTCTACTGCGGACTTGGAGAACCTTTATGTCTAGCTAAAGGGATTGTAAATACACCAATCAGCACTCTGTCTAGCTCAAGGTTTGTAAATGCACCAATCAGTGCTCTGTATCTAGCTAATCTAGTGGGGACTTGGAGAACTTTTCTGTCTAGCACTGTCTAAAGGATTGTAAACACACCAGTCACCACTGTGTCTAGCTCAAGGATTGTAAACACACCAATCAGCACCCTGTGTCTAGCTCAAGGTTTGTAAATACACCAATCAGTCCTCTGCCGCTAATCTAGTGGGGACTTGGAGAACCCTTATGTCCAGCTAAAGGATTATAAATACACCAATCAGCACTCTGTCTAGCTCAAGGTTTGTAAACACACCAATCAGCATCCTGTGTCTAGCTCAAGGTTTGTAAACACACCAATCAGTGCTCTGTGTCTAGTTAATCTGGTGAGGACTTGGACAACTTTTAAGTCTAGCTAGAGGACTGTAAATGCACCAATCAGCACTCTGTGTCTAGCTCAGGGATTGTAAACACACCAATCAGCCCCCTGTCAAAACGAACCAATGAGCTCTCTGTAAAACGTACCAATCAGCACTCTGTAAAATGGACCAATCAGCAGGATGTGGGTGGGGCCAGATAAGGGAATAAAAGCAGACTGTCCCAGTCTGCAGCAGCAACTTGCTTGGGTTTTGGTCCAGAGTATGGAAAGTTTATTCTTTTGTTTTTTGCAATAAATCTTGCTATCGTTTACTCCTTGGGTTCATGCCGCTTTTATGGGCTATAACACTCACCCTGAAGGTCTACAACTTCATTCCTGAGGGCAGCAAGACCACGAACCCAGTGGGAGGAATGAACAACTTGGGATGTGCCACCTTAAGAGCTGTAACGCTCACCAGGAAGGTCTATAGCTTCACTCCTAAAGTCAGTGAGACCACGAACCCACCAGAAGGAAGAAACTCCAAACATGTGCGAACATGAGAAGGAACAAACTCCAGACATCGTCTTTAAGAACTGTAACACTTGCTGCAAGGGTCTGCGACTTCATTCTTGAAGTCAGGGAGCCCAAGAACCTACCAATTCTGGACACAGTGGGATTACAGGTGTGACCCACTATGCCCAGCTGCTACCACTTTTCAAAGGAGTGACAGAGCCAGTTTTGTTTGTTTTTGGGTTTTTTTTGAGATGCAGTCTTGCTTTTGTTGCGCAGGCTGGAGTGCAGTGGCGTGATCTCAGCTTACTGCACTTCTGCCTCTTAAGTGATTCTCCTGCCTCAGCCTCCCAAGTAGCTAGGACATAGGTGTGTACCAGCACACCCCGCTAATGTTTGTATTTTCAGTAGAGATGGGGTTTCATCATGTTGATCAGCCTGGTCTTGAACTCCTGACTTCAGGTGACCCACCCGCCTCGTCCTCCCAGTGCTGGGATTACAGGTGTGAGCCACCGAGCCCGGCTCTTTTTTTTTTTTTTTTTTTTTTTGGCAATATCTCACACAGACCAAAACTTTTGTAGAATACAATAAAAGTTAATCGTTAGCAAGATGGACAGGCACCTGGATGTTGTGGCAACGTCAAACTATAATAAAGTTTCTAAATGTATCGTTCAACCTCTGGACTCATTACAGGTAAGTCACAAACAGTCCACAGATCACCACTAGTCACTCCTCTCTGGTATGAAGTCACTTGCCTGCTCATCTCACACTAGGGCAATCATCAACTCTCATTAGGAGGCCTAGGGAGGGGGCACACACAGATTGCTCTAGACTTGAAGCTGAGTGGAAGTGGAGTCAGGATTTGAACCCATCTATCTGACTGCCATGGAAAAGCAGTTAATAATTTCCTCGAATGCAAGGCACCCCAGATCAAAGCGATACGGAACTTACGGACCTTTGCAAGGAATGCCAGTAGAAGAAACAAACCCCCAACACAACGTTATCGAATGGGAAGAATCTTCTAAGTTCTCAACACTAAGGGCTGTCCAACCTATGATATCACTCTCCCCACGGGAAAGAACCCAGCAAAACAAATGCAGATACATACGCAAGAATATTCTAACCACACATTTGTCATTAAGGTCTTTCGCCCTTTTTCTTTTTTTTTTTCTTTTTCTGAGACACAGTCTTGCTCTGTCGCCCAGGCGGGAGTGTGGTGGCGAGATCTTGGCTAACTGCAACCTCTGCCTCTCGGGTTTGAGCGATTCTCCTGCCTCAGCCTCCTGAGTAGCTGGGATTACAGGGAGGCGCTACGATGCCCAGCTAAGTATTTTTAGTAGCGGGCGGGGGGGGGGGGGGTTCATCATGTTGGTCAAGCTGGTCTCGAACTCCTGACCTCATGATCCTGCCTCAGCCTCCCAAAGTGCTGGGATTACAGGCGGGAGCCACCATGCCCGGCCCCCTTTTGGTTTTTATGTTTGGCTTATAAGCGTGGTTAGTTGGTGTCAGAGGTTAAGGAGGCTGCCAGGTAAGAAGCTCTCTGGGTGGATACAGAACCGGTTTTAAAAGCCTGGCTCAGCTGGGCACGGTGCCTCAAACCTGTAATCCCAGTGCTTTCAGATGCCGAGGCGGCAGATTGCTGGAGTCCAGGAGTTCAAGACCAGCCTGGGCAATGTAGCGAGACCTCCTCTCTACAAAAAATACAAAAATTGGCCGGACGTGGCCAATAATCCCACCACCTCGGGAGGCTGAGGTGGGAGGATCGCTTGAGCACGGGAGGCGGAGGCTGCAGTAGCTGAGATGCTGCCAATGCACTGCAGCCTGGACGACAGAGCCACACCCTGTCTCAAACAATAATTAATTAATTAATTAAATGAATGAATGAATGCCTGGCTCAGTTGACACTTTTCTTCTTCCGCCCCAACACTGAAGGGACCCGGACAGTTCTGAGCCCTGCCTGAATGCTGCTGCCCCATCTCTGTGACCGCTGGAACTGTCTGGATTTCACACCCAGTGTCAAATATGCCCTAGGCCAAAGTCGGAATTGTGTCTGCGTCACCTGTCCAAGACCTGGGCCCTGCTCCACCGCTGCTTCTACAAAGGGACTCAGTCTAGCTTCCAGCCAGGCCTTCGGGAGGCACTCCAGGTGGGGACTAAGCGCGGTCTGGCCAGGCTGCAGAACCCGTGGCCAGCAGAAGCAGCCTCTGCCCAAGCCCCGGATTCAATGTCCTGCTGTTGTTCATTCCGAGAAATTCGGAGACTGTGGCTACGCTGGCTTTCCCGGCTCGCCGCCGGTGGCGGAGGTGGCACAGCCGAGGGTGCTGGCTTCACGGAGGGGCAGCGAGTGTCCCCTCCCGGAGAGGGGTGTCCCGGCGGCCAGGACGCCAGGAGGGGTGCCCTACCGTCTTCCAGCTCCTGCCCAGCTCCTGTCCGGAACTCCTGGCCGCCCACCCCAGCCCCGCTGCGGGCTCCCCGCGGGCCTCTCTAGCCCTGGGCACCCCGCAGTTTCCCACCCGATCTGAGCACCCCGCAGATCCCACCCACCCGGAGCACCCCACAGATTCCCACCCAATCTGAGCACCCCGCAGATTTCCCCCATCCCCCGATCCGGGAGTCCCCCAGCCCCCACATGCTGCGGCTGCGCCCGCGTCCCGCCGCGAAGGCCCAGGCCCGGCTGACCTGACGGGGGCGCGGCGGCGGCGGCGGCGAAGACTCCGAGCAGCAGCGGCCACAGCCGCGTCGGTCGCATGGCCCCGGGCGCTCGGCGGCGGCTCAGGTCGCGGCCGGGGCCCCGCTTGGGGTCCGCGGAGCCGCTCACGTCGCCGCCGGGACCGCCATGGCGAGCGCAGGGCGCGCAGGGCCCGCCTCTTCCCGAGCGGCGGCGGGGCGTCCAGGCGGAGGGGACCCTGCTCGGCCGCCAGCGCCCCGCCCCGCCCCCGCCCCGTCCCGCCCCCACGCGGGACTTTCCCGCTCCGGGAACCGCGGCCCGGGGGGCCTCTGCGGCGGCAGCGCTGGGACCCCACGCAGCCGGCCTACTGGAGCGCGGAGCCTCCCGGAACGTCCTGGAGACTGGAGCCCCGCGGGACGCCCACCTTCGGGGGCCGCGATCCTTCCAGAAGGGCCCCGCAAGACCTCGGCCCAGGCCCCCGGGCGTTCCCTGGAGCCCCCACCCCTCTTGACCCCACCTCACTCTCCTCTTGGGTGCTTGATCGCACAATTCGAGGATTCGCCCCTTTAGTCGAAATGTTTGCTTTAATAGCCCCCAAAATACATATTAGGCTTTCAACTCCCCCCCGCTCCCCCCCCCCATTTTTTTTTTTGAGACGGAGTCACCAGGCTGGAGGGCTGTGGCGCGATCTCGGCTCACTGCAACCTCCGCCCCCCGTCAACCCCCTTTTGAAAAGGGTTTTAAGGGGAAGGAGTTAGAAAGGGCCCAGTGAAGGAGGGGGTGGGGCTCTGGGGGCGAATGGGCTCCGAGGAGGGGGAGAGAGAGACAGAAACTTCCAGCATTTCGAAACGGCATGGGGTTTGCCCAGGAGCCGGCCGCGGTGCACGAGGAGGAAGTCCTTTAGCAGCTGGGCAGCCGCAGGCCCGCTCCCCAGCCCGAGGCTGCACCATCTCCAGTCTGACGCCTGTTGGGAGAGGGTTTTAAATCTGCCCTGTTCTTCCAAGATGCGTCATAAGCTAGCGCAGCAAAGGAGGGACGCGGTGCGGGGAGACCAAGAATTTAAAAATAAGTCGTCCCGGGAGCCCACTGGACATGTTAGCAAAAATGGGTTTTGCAACATAGAGCTCTTATTTTGCTCTTCCCGCATTCTTGTATTTCCTCCTTGTGAACTCTTTTGAAATTGGCCACGCTCGTAAAAATATGTGATGAAATACCTAGCAGACAATTGAATTATGCATTGGATATTTCCAGATATAGAGATATATTTATATGTTACATGAAAAACCCGGGCAATAATTTGGAATCACTTAAAAAATGATGCACTGATGCCAGGCGTGGTGGCTCACTGAGCCTGTAATCCCAGCACTTTAGGAGGCCGAGGCCGGCGGATCCCATGTGGCCAGGAGTTGGAGACCAGCCTGGCCAACATGACTGAAACCCGTCTCTACTAAAAATACAAAAATTAGCCGGGCGTGGTGGCAGTCGCCTGTAATCCCAGCTACTCGGAGGGCTGAGGCAGGAGAATCGCTTGAACCCGGGAGGTGGAGGTTGCAGTGAGCGGAGAGGGCGCCACTGCACCCCAGCCTGGGTGACAGACCGAGACTCCGTCTCAAAAAAAAAAAAAAAAAAAAAAAAAAGCACTGAAAATGACATGATTGCAAGAAGGATTCCATTTTTAAACAAATAAATAAAATTAAAAGAAAACGACTGGGGGAAAGATGCCAACATACTAAGAAGAAATCGGTTATGGGATCTCGGAAGTGTCATCTGCCTCAGGGGATGTAACCGAATGCTGGTTCAGTCGCTGGCTGCTTGCAGAGTCTAATTAACAAGAGCGAGATGTGGTGGAAAGTGACTTTATTTCCCAAGCTAGCAAGGGGAAGTGGTTGGATTCGTATCCCCAAAGCAATCACCTTGAATTCTGGGGTATGGGGAGTGGGAAAGACAAGGGTTTATAAAGGGAAAACGATGTGGAAGTCAAGCAAGGATTATGCTAAGTACAATGTCTGTTTGTCTTGTTCCAGTGGCTGTCTTGGGTCCTAGTCTACTGGAAGCGTGGGCTGGCATCATCTCAACAATGGCTGGATTCTTAATTAGACGCTTTGAAGTCATATCTGGAATTTTGCAGCAGGATCTCCAGGCTTGGTCTGTCTGTCTCAAGATTAGCGTCTGGAACCTCTAAGAAGGCACATAACTAGACACAAGCATACAGTTAGATAAATGTGAAGGGAGTTGATACTGTGAAGAAGGGAGGGACGTGGAGCCCATTTTAAGGCTAAGGAAAAAGGCTTCTGCAGTTTGCTTCAAGGTTACATCTTTGATGGCTGGGTGCGGTGGCTCATGCCTGTAATCCCAACGCTTTGAGAGGCTGAGCCAAGTGGATCACCTGAGGTTGGGAGTTCAAGACCAGCCTGGCCAACATGGTGAAACCCGTCTCTACTAAAAATACAAAAAATAGCCAGGTGTGGTGGCATGTGCCTGTAATCCCAGCTACTTGGGAAGCTGAGACAGGAGGGAGGTGGAGGTTACAGTGAGCTGAGATCATGCCACTGCACTCTAGCCTGAGCCACAGAGCAAGACTCTGTCTCAAAAAAAAAAAAAATGTAACTTGTTTTCTCATTCTAAAGAAATACTTTTGGCCAGATGTGGTGGCTCACATCGGTAATTCCAGCACTTTGGGAGGCCGAGGCGGGTGGATCACCTGAGGTTAGGAGTTCAAGACCAGCCTGGCCAACATGGTAAAACCCCATCTCTACTAAAAATACAAAAATTAGCCAGGCATAGTGGCAGGTGCCTGTAATCCCAGCTACTTGGGAGGCTGAGGCATGAGAATTGCTTGAACTGGGGAGGTGGAGGTTGCAGTGAGCTGAGATAGTGCCACTGTGCTCCAGCCTGGGTGGCAGAGTAAGGCTCCATCTCCGGGGGGGGGGGAAGCAATACTTTGGTGCCTAATTTTATAGTAAGTTGTATATTTGTTTATAAACGGGGCTCCATATATTATATACACTTCAGCCCTACAAACCCTGCATCTGCACCATCCCTTTCCATTAATTCCTTACCTTCTAATCAGTTGACCTTTCTGAAGCATTTCTAATAGCCTAGAGGGGCTCCTCTTGCCTCCCTCAGGAGAGTGGGCGGGGGATGGCAGAAAGAAGCCAACATTTTTTGCCAGCCAGTGGTGCTTCTCTAGGTATTGTAACACCCAGACCTCCCAGTTAGGCAAGCAATGGCTGTCCCATGGGGACACGAGCAGAGTTCAGTGACTTGGCCTGTGGTGGGTTTGCACTGCGGTAGGTCTGCTAAACTGTAACTGCATTTCCTAGAATTCCCCTTCCTGAAAAGTTCTGAGGTAACATGGGCAGGGAAGGATGTTTGTGTGTGTCTTAGTCCATTTTCTGTTGCTTATAACTGAGTATCTGAAGCTGGGTCATTGATAAAGAAAAGGCATTTATTTCTTACAGTTTGGGAGGCTGAGGTACTGCATCTGGTGAGGGCCTTCTTGCTGATGGAGATTCTCTGCAGAGTCCTAAGGTGGGCAGGGCATCACATGGCAAGGGGGCTGAGGGTGCTAAGGTACTCAGATCGGTCTTCCTCTTTTTTTTTCTTTTGAGATGGAGTATCACTCTGTTGCCCAGGCTGGAGTGCAATGGTGCGAGCTTGGCTCACTGCAACCTCTGCCTCCCAGGTTCAAGCAATTCTCCTGCCTCAGCCTCCCAAGTAGCTGGGATTACAGGTGCCTGCCACCACACCAGGCTAATTTTTGTATTTTTAGTAGAGATGGTGTTTCACCATGTTGCCCTGGTGTTGAACTACTGACCTCAAGTGATCCACCTGCCTCGGCCTCCCAAAGTGTTGGGATTACAGGAGTGAGCCACCACGCCCATCCCCTCTTTTATAAAGCCCCCAGTCCCACTCCCATGATAACTCATTGGTCCATGAACCCATTAGTCCATGAATGAGTCCACCCATCCATGAGGGCAGGATCACCATAACCAATCACCTCTGAAAGGCCTCATTCCTCCATACTGCCATATTGGGAATTAAATTTCCAGCACGTGGAATTTGGGGACACCTTCAAACCCTAGCAATGTGCAAGACTTGAAAGATGGAAGGAAAGGTGCAGCCATATTCCTTTACCCTTGAGAGGCTGGGGCAGGGCACAAGGCATCCATCTTTGCAGCTCATGACCTGTGGCTTCTCTGCTGACGTCCTAGATGGCAGGGATACAGACAGGCTCCAGGCTCCTCCAGCTCCTGGTGGATCTCGTGTGGTCGTGTAAGTTGGAGGTGTGGAGATAGAGAGCAACTGAGGAGAGTAGCAGATGAACCTTAGATTTCAGCTTGTCCCTGCTTCCTCCACCTCTTGTCTACCTTCTCTTCCCGGCCTTCTGCCCTGAGGACTTCAGGCTCCAGCACTGGACAGGGGGAAATTGCCTGTCCTGGACTGTGCACACATCTGTCATGTTTATGTGAGGTCAAATCTCTATAATATAACAACACACACACACACAAACACATACACACACATCACATGATGCTTTTGCTTGTTGGATCAAAACCGGGCTGATCATGCCCCAAATCACATAACCAATGAGTGGCAGTGTGGGCTCCTAGCGAGGCCTGTCTAGTGCCCCGCATTTCACAGCAAACTTCTCATCATGCTGTTCCGTTTTCTTGCAATGAGGCTCAGCTCTGCCCAATCAAGCGCTCCACAGCTCCCCAAGACCCAGCTATTCCGTCAGTGAGTCTTTGAAGTTTTACTTTGTGAAGGTCACATGTGCCCTACTTGTCTGCCTCTTCCTCTGCTGTTCACCCCCCCTGTTTGCGCCTCTCCCTGCCTTCATCTGTAACGCCTCCCCCACCCCCCACTCCTGCCATACCCACAGTCCAAATTCTACAACTTCTGGACTCCACTTCCTGAGAACTCTATCGCCTTCTCTGACTACATCTTCCCCTGTTTGTCGTTTTGTGGGGATTGACACAGCCAAAGGCAGGGCCGCTGACACCTGTGAGTGGGTAGATGAGTGTCTTTCCTGTATTCAACAGAACTGTAAGAGCTCTGAGCTCAGAGTAGGCCTTGATCATTGCCAAGTGGGGCCTTGATATGTGACTTGGTGCCCCTTGTTCCAAGAAATTCCAGGATCAAGGTCAGAGGAATTGGCATGTTAGCGAAAGGACGAATTCCCTTAGGTCTCCGGTGATGGGATGGGTTTTCTCACTGTTTGTCATGGGCCTCAGCCCCCTCCTTTCACCAGCCTACACTTGTTGCATTTCTGCTTCCCCAGTGGGGCCATCACAAAATATCATTCGAGTAATACCCAGTCTTTTCTAGTCTTTTGCCTCCTGTCTGGAACTCTCACAACAGTTACTATTATACATACAGCATTCTACATTTCACTCCTTCTGGAAACAGGGAATGAATGATATCCTGATTTTTGTTGTTGTTGTTGTTGTTTTTAACCAGAGTGTTGCTCTGTCACCCAAGCTAGAGTGCACTGGCATGATCTCGGCTCACTACAACCTCCGTCTCCCAGATTCAAGCAATTCTCGTGTCTCAGCTTCCCGAGTAGCTGGGATTACAGGCGCGCACCACCACGCCTGCCTAATTTTTGTATTTTTAGTAGAGATGGGGTTTCACCATGTTGGCCAAACTGGTCTTGAACCCCTAGCCTCATATGATCCACCTGCCTCAGCCTCCCAAAGTGCTGGAATTACAGGCGTGAGCCACTGCGCCCGGCCGATATCCTGAAATTTGTCAGGGAGAAGAGACAACAGGCAGAGAAAAGAAAATCTTCCAGTTCCTTTTTAACTCCTTGAAAAACAGGAGACTCCTACACTTTAAGTATATGAAGCTTTAATATTCCTGATCTTGGTACATACGAAAAGCACCCACAACCCAGGGCCACAGCCCAGGACCTGGGAAGCTGCCGGTAACAACTGGAAGGCCCAGGCCTGGGATTTTTTTTCATGA